ACACACACACACACACACACACACACTTTGGATAGCTCGTATGGACTCTGGCATTGCATCGCTCGCACCACTCTGGCACTGATCTCACAAGAACAGCGTCTTCTCCTTGAGCGCTCTCCATCCCAACAGCGTCCAGTCCTCTCTGCGCACATACGCCTCCGACGCCGCCGCCTCGAGCCGCGCAAACACGCTCATGCCCTTCCACGCCAGCACCTGCGGGTCCATCTCCCTCGGCGGCGGGATCGCCGTCACCTTGGGCGCACTCGCCGCGTCGCCCGCCACCGCCGCGTAGTGCGCCGCCAGCATCGCCGCCAGCCGCGCCTCGAGCGCCGCACCCAGCCCGGGGATCCGCGCCGAGCCACCCACGCACAGCATGTTGGCTGCCATCTTGCGCAGCCGGTCGTCGGAGCCCGACTGAGCGACGCAAGTCAGCAGTGAATGCAGGATCGCCGTGTCCAGCCCGGTCTTGCTCGCCTCGCGGTGGATGTCGATCGTAGGCACAGCCGGGCCTGTTGGCTGCGCGGGCTCGTCTGCAACAGCGCCCGCGGCGACGGCGGTGGTGCCGTTCTGAGGCGCAGGCGACGGCCGCGCAGAAGCGTCGGCAGACGGGAGCATGCTACCGTCCGCACCCTCCGGTTTGGCGGCAGGCGAACTGGCACGCGAGCCCATCGCGCTGGTGCTTCCAGCATCCGCCAGCGCCGCCGCGGTTTTCGGCTTGGCCTTGTCGTCGGCGGCAGGCGCGGGCGTGCCGGCCTCGGAAGCCACTGCGCCCGTATCGGGTGCCGACACCGCCGGTGCCGGCGCAGGCGTGGGGTCCGCAGGCAACAGATGCTTCACGCAGCTCGTCATGGCCGCCGTCACGGGCACGTCGAGCCCACGCACGACGCTCAGCTCGGGCGTGTCTTCCGCCACGCCGTCCTCTGCCTCTTCCTCCACATACCCCGCGCGCTGCCTGCGCTTGAGCGAGCTCTTGGCGTCCAGACCGTACACGGACGGGTCAAACAGGCTCATGGGCGCGAGGATCAGCTCGTCGTACGTGCGGAAGAGGTACTTCTTGGTCGGCCTCGACGGCAGGCGCAGGTAAAAGTCGTGGATGTTGAGCCCCACGTCCGCCGGGTTGAGCGTGACCAGCCGGCGCTTGAGCTCGTCGAGCAGCAACGTGTCGGCGATGCTCGCGCGCACGTCCAGCTCGCGGTAGGGAAACTTGGCGCGCACCAGCAGCTCGCCCAGGAAGCGCGTCAGATCCGCACCGCCGTACGCCAGCTGCACGCGCGTCTCGGGCAGCACCAGCCCTTCCTCCACACACGACACCGAGATCTTTTCGGCGCCCAGGTCCACCACGCAGCCCGTCGAGAGGCCGGCGCCAAACGTGGCACACACGCTCTCCTGCTGGATGCACGCCTGCGCAAACCCCATGTCGACGAGCAGCAGCTCGGTGAGCGCCTTGATGTCCGACTTGCAAAACAGGTCCGGCACGATGAGGATGACCGAGCAGCCCGCAAATTCGGTGCGCGGAATGCCGAGGCCGATGGGAGCCACCTTGCCCGTCTCCTGGCGCTCGTCGGTGTCCTCGGGCGGCGAGGTGATGGCCTTCTCGAGAATGCAGCGCACGTCTCCGAGCAGTGCGCGTGCTGCTGCCGAGGCGCCGTAGTGTTGTTCGTACGTGTTGAGGTCGAGCGTGCCGCGCTGGAAGGGGCGGAAGAGCGTCCACGGACGGTGTGCGTCGGGTGGCGAGAGCGGCTTGATGGATGCGGCTTGTGATTGCTGCTGCTGCTGTCGGCGCTGGTTTTGCTTTGGCTCTGCGGTCTTGGGCTGGGAGAAGCACGCGAGCCGCAGCGCCTGCTCACCCACCAGCACCTCGTTGTCGCCACCGGCATCCTCGTCGGTCCACTGCAGGCCGAAGAGATCGTTGTGTTCGGGCACGTCTTCGGGCTGGCTGCTGTCGTTGTAGTTGGCGGCGAGGTTCTTTGCGTTGCCGACGGACCGCAGCTTTTCCTGGCGCATGATGGCGCGCAGGTCGTTGCGGATGGCTTCGATGCCGTCTGCGAGCGAGCGCTTTGGTGTGACCTCTGCGTCGGCGTCGTCCTGCGAGGCGTCCGAGGAGGGCTCTTGCTGTGCGGGCGCATTGGCCGCTGACCTACGTGGGTTCTTGCGCAACGACGTGGCCGCATCGCCAGCATCTTGGTCGAGCTTGTTTGGTGACTCGCTAGCGTCGGTCATGTCTACGTCGGCGTCCTCGCCCTCGCTAGCTTCGGCTGGGGTGCCGTTGGCATTGGAGCTGCCGGCAGTCTGGTGGGTAGAGCTTGACGACTTTTTGGCACGACGGGCAATAACGTTTGGGATGACGATCGGGAAGAGGTCGGTTGCTCGACCGAGTCGGAGGGATTCGGAGCCTGGATGGATGACGATGGTGCGGTGGGCGGGCGTGTTTTCGGCCGCCTCCTTTTCACCGTCGTTGGCATCGAGGTCGTCGTCGTCGTCGAGATTCATACTGGCATCCGGGGCGGCGTCTGCGGCATCCCTGAGCGCATCGATGCGCCTCTTTCTGGAATGCGGCTGCGACTGCGATGCGGACTGTGCGCGGGCGATCCATGTCTGCGCTTCCGTCTTGAGGTAGGAGGAGGCGACGTTCTTGGCGTTGAGGGGGGCGACGGAGAAGAAGGTGGTGTACTGGAGCGGGATGCTCTGCGACGCATGCGGCGGCGGGTTGGGCGGCAGCGACACCTTCTTGGGCGGCATGGCGAGAGGGGCCAGCTCGAGTGGGCGTGCTTTAAGCGGCGGTGGCGATGATGATGATGATGACGATGATGGTGGTCGGCGAGAGTCGAGGTGGATGCCCCCCCTGGCTTCCGAGGCAATCCTTCTCAAACGCGTTTCGAAGCAGCAGCAGTGCTCATTCCTTCATTTCGGCCGCGATCCGAATTTGCCGGGCAGCAGCCATGCAGCGCAGCAGCGGTTAAGCCGACGCGCCGAATCGCAACGCTTTTCCTTGAGGCCAACAGGCAGGTGCTCAGCCTCACTCGATAGGCCGACTCGCAGGTGCTGCATGATTGAGCTGGAGTGACTGATTGCAGGTTGAGAGAGAGAATGTGATGCCAAGCCTGGCCTTGTGGGAATCTTGTGAGAGGATGACGGAGGAGCCGACCGAGCGCAAAGTAGCGAAAACGACAAACTGACGGCGAAGAGCAGCAGCAGCAGCAGCAGCAGCAGCA